AATAAACTAATTTTTGGAATACTTGTCTATTGCGCGTTTGTGCGGGCTAATCTAAAACGCGGTTTAACCGATTTTGGTACGGTTTTCATTCATGTACTCTAAGGTAAGCTTCACTTTAGTGTTCAATTCATTTGAATCTGACCTTGAATGAGAGTTATGTTGATAAAAAATAAGTTGAAACGTTTGTTGAAAAGGAAAAAAAATACTGATTGGTTTGGTTGTAGTTTTGGATAACTATATTTGAAAAAAAAATAAATGGATACTAACCAAATAACAAGTTAAAATGAACAAAATGATCTCAAAAATACTGTTTATCCACTAAACATGAAATATTACGGTTTAACCTGAAACACTCCTTAGGATCATTTCCCTACCTTTTCAACTAGAGTTCATCAGAAAGTTGTGCATTTATTATCACTTGTACTTTTTCTCACCAGATACAAAATATTTCAATATAAAATAAAACAATCCCATTTCAATTCCAAATATTTTATTGATGTTGATATCTTTTTTTCTTTCTTCTTTTAACTTCAACGATGATCTCTTGATCTCTGGAGGAGATTCGGACTTTTCAAACTTCAATTTCTGAATTGATATACAAACATGTACTTGAACGGATTGGAAGGACACACATCAAACAATTTAATCATTATATTCCTATTTTTCTTTTGGTCAAGAAATTTGACATCGAGGCAGATATTTGTGAAGATTTTGTGAACAGGTAGAAACATTCCATCACACTTTTTCCTCACACCAGAACTATAACATTATTCTTGATTCACGGCTCAACAATCAAGTTGGCGTCATCGTCAGGTGGACCATATGCATGCATATTGCAGAAACTGGCCCAAAATTTCAATTTATGCAATAACAAAAAGGCAAGTGAAAACTCAGAAAAGACTAATTTTGCGACAGAAAAATAATTTGAAATTATTAACCCACTTTAGTACATGAGCTTACTTTAATCAAATATATGCCAGTGGTGGGAAAATGTCAGGTAACAGAGACGTCCTAATCTTGATATATATTTTTGATGAAATGATAGAAAGTAAAGAAGGAACTGAAGAGTTTATTCTAAACCACTGAAGTACGCATTTTTCTGTGGTAGAAAACCTGAAGTCTGAAATCACCAAATTAAAAGATGAAAATCGACAACTACAGAAAATCTAAAAGAGACAAAAAAAAGTTAGTATATTTATCGGTCTCCACGAAGTACCCAGTCGAAGGAATTCATCATTTTTCTGTAAAAAAATTAATCGTTTATTAAACGTAGAAGTGAATGACACAGATATAAATGATTTATATTCATTAGCAACTGCAATAATGGCTTCTTCAAATGTTGAACTCGTATCATATCAAATGAAAAAAATTATACCACAAAACTATTCCAAACTCAAAAGTTCCATTATCAGAATTGCCAACGATCAAACATACCTACAGAGAGCAGAAAATAAAATACTAAGAGAGTTTCTTCTAAACGCCTGAAAAACTAGTAACGAAAGAAGTTATATAAAAGGAAACAAACTTTTTGTTGACAATACAGTTCATACAGTAGAGGAATCAGAAGCTTCGATACAGATAGCATACAAAAATCCGATAGTATTTGTGGAAGAGAAACATCTAGTAACCGTCTCTGACAACAAAAGTAAGCTAGCAATCGACATGAGGAACAGAAGTGGAATAGAAATAAAAGACACTCCAAAGAAGAAAATCACACCTCGGCCAACATCACAAGCAAATCTATCTGGGCTCAACAAATTTGACCAAGTAAATTTCAAGCTCACATAGTGATAAATATATATACACGATTTTTCTCTCCAGGCGATTTTGCATACCTCCAGAAGAACTAGTACGAAAAGACATAATTACTTGACGTACTTCATTCTCATTCACTACTAAAGAACTAGTTGAAAAAGAATTAGTTTGGTAACAAATTCGAGTTTTTGACTGAGGATGCTTCACGAAAGACTTTCGTGGTAAAATTTGCCAGTTTGTCATCAGAACATAAAATTTGCAACCAGACTCTTATGGAAGGGTATGCGAGCATTTTCGTTCTTCAAGACATTGATGGTTTCGAGAACAGGAATATTGGTATTATTTCTTGAATTTTGATGAATTTTCTCACTATGTATCTTCAAACCAAAAGAATTCTTAAAAGATTTACAACAGGAATCACAAAAAGGTGTTCACAGTGACATTGACAAAAGTTGTCAATTAAATATAGAGAAATCCTACAAGTATTTCAAATATTATACACCAAGAGTATTCAAAAAACATTGATGCATTCAAAATTTTCCCACATGACGGAAACATAGATTTTTGAAAGCTTCCGAAAGTCTGGTGTCATATATCGTTCTCAAAAATTCAAGACCGTGTTCATTTATTTTATGACTATTATGCAACGGTTGTTTAGTGACTCTTCCAATGGAAGAAATCAGGTATGAACTACTTCCTATTTGAAAAAAATCGTAGCCGTCTAATCGGACCAACAAACTGTTCTGTATCTGTATCTATAGAAGTAGGGAGGGTGAGTGTAAGCCCACGGCAATTAGGCCACATTGTACATCCTCCCGAAGAGTTGTCCTCCAAAATCATCGTCAATCCTGTCCTTTCCAGGAAAGTGGACAGGTCACTGGGAGACATCTCCTTTATATCGGCAGATATAGGTCAAGACTCTCCGAACACACACTCTCTTATTGACGATAACTCCGGGCACTCGCATAGGATATGCCTGTGAGTCTCATCTTCCTGTTCACACATCCTGCATAGAGGTGTGTCCACTAGCTCCATATTATGGAGGTGTTACCTTAGTTGAAGTTGGCCAGTCAGAAATCCAACTGTTAAGCGTGGATTTTTCCTGGTCATCGCCAAATATTTCTTCGGCGCCAGCTTCCCAGAGTCGCCCAAGGTGATCCTGGCAAGATTGCATTCTTTGATTCCATCCCATCTGTTTAAGGATTGAGCATGAGTGTAGCATTTTGCTAGATCCGCAATTGTCCAAGTCATCAGGCCGTAGGTGCCACTGGGTCCTAAAATTCTTTGTCCAGCCGCTTCCTTGGCTAAAGAGTCGGCATTGCCATTACCTTTACTCCTATCGTACCCTTTAACCCACCTGAGGATAATTTTATTATCTACCGAGGCTTTGGCTAAATCTTGGTGACACTCTAGTACTAGCCCTGAGGTTATATGTTGTCTGTTCAAGACTAATAGGGCTTTTTTGCTGTCAGTGCAGACTGTTATGTTTTTGCTGGTTGCCTGCAGCAGACGTTGCGCAGTAAGCGCTTCCCGCCATTGGCCCAGCCTCAATTGACCCATTCCTACTTCGAGGTTCACACCAGCCGTGCGCAATCGTACCATGGCCATTAAACGCAACCTCCTTAACGTACAGGTCCAGAGAGGTCAGACCCGTAATTAATTCCATTGCCGTGGCTGGTGTTGTTCTCATGGCTCCTATGATGTTTAAACAAGCCAGTCGCTGTATTTGATTTAATTTTTAATGGCCGTTGCTTGTAGAACTTTCGTTCCCCATGCAATGGCTCCGTATGTTAACATAGGTCTTATTATTGCAGGGTAGAACCAAGTGACCACACGGGATGAAAGACCCCATGCGCGTCCCACTGTCCTCTGACATTGCTCATAAGCCACATATACTCTTTTTGCTCTACTCTGTAGGTGAGGGGTCCATGTTAGCTTCCTGTCGAGGATAGTAGCAAGGTATTTCACCTCTTCAGAGGAGTTTACTTTCCTTTTGAAGATTTCGGGATGTTTTAAGCCCGATAAACTTATTTTCCTGGTGAAAAGGACCATCTCAGTCTTCTTGGGATTGATCGACAGTGAGTGTTCCTTACACCATGTTTCTATTAATTCGAGCCCATCCTGCGCTCTATCGAACAGTGTATTCACGAATTTGCCGGTCTGCAAGCCCCTCATGACCAGTCCTTTCACTGTGATGTCTTCTACATTGATACTTATTGCTCTACTAGAGAGCATCTTGAGTATCCATTCTCCTACTGCCAGGGGTACATTTCTGGAGTGTAGTTGCTGGGTAATTGTTGGAAAGGTTGTTTTATCAAACGTTCCCTCGATATCTATGAATATACCCAGGATTCTTTGTTGTCCAATAATCTCTCGATTCTGCCAACCACATGGCCAAGGGCCGAATCAGTAGACCTTTCCGGAGTATATGCATTCTGATTTGGATGAAGTGGGTTGTGAACTGGTACTTCATCTCTTATGTACCGCTCACATAGCTTCTCCATAGTTTTAAAAAAAATGATGTGAGACCAATTGGTCGGAATGCTTTTGGTAGGGTGTATTCCATCCTACCTATCAACAAACTGTTTCTCACTGTTCTAATAGCTGAGGTTATTTCATCTTTCCTAGACTAACCATTTTTATGTTGTAAATTGTTTGTCTAAACTATAAGAAAGGTCACAAAGGTCTAGAATTCAATTTGTATAAGAAGACTTTCGCCTCCTCCATTGTCCACAAAACAAAAGATGGCGGGATTATGATCTTCTGTCCAAAGAATGGGGAATGTTCCTCCTGACGAAAATCAAGTAGTTTTCATAAAAGAGCTCTAAAACAACGCATTTCAAACTTATCATTTGAACCCCTAATAAAAGACAATGTATGAGGCAAACAAAGATGACATATTTCAGAGGCGTTCTGTTCTGTTTACTTATGTTTTGAAATATTCTGTGACATATGATATTTTGTGCACCTAACCTATCTTCCTCTATATAAATAAATAACAAAACAACTGTTGTTTATGTGGATTGTGGAGGTGGTATTGAACTATTATTTATATTTTGCCTTAATTTTTGATTTATAAAGATAATTTTCCTTTTTTGAAGTAGTATTTCTAGGTACGTATAAATTATTTCAACTTGATATAGGCGCTGTTGCTACTATGTGAATCAGCAACAAATTCCTTTAAAAATTAAAACCCAACATTTGAAACATGAATTTGAATACTTTTCGAAGTGAATTTGAAAAACTCATGAATTAAACTCAACTTTATTTTGTTCAAACATTTGCTGTAATAACCCAAATTGAGGAGCATTCCCCATTGTAACTTTTCTCCTAGGGTAGATGAAGGCATTAACATCCTTCAAAAAAAATTTATAAAACATAAAGAGAGACATATGCCTCAATAAATCTTCGATTTTTAAAGAGACGAAGTCAAATTTCATAAGAACCAAGAGCCATTAACTGCTTGATACTAGACTTTTAGATGCCTTCGAAAATTAATTGTATACTCTCCTATTAACCACGAATTTCATCTATTGCATAGTACTGTTTCTATTCTACTATCGATTTTAGCAGTACTACTAAACCGGATAATGATTCGGTCAAACTGATATATTATTCATAAGTTGTTAGGAAGTTCAACTTGTATCATTTAATATTAGAAAACTAGCTTTCAAATGTAATGATAAAATTTTGAAATTCCATATTCTATCGGGTTTTAGAGTCTATTAAAAACACATTTCTTACAACAAAATAGGCTCATATTTTAAATTGGACCTTTCCAAATTGGACCTTGTATATTAAAGGTTCAGATTTATCCATAGTAAATTAAATTATCAATATTAAACAATGGAAGTCTAAATCTCCTCCTTCGACGAGATACACTGACGGTCTCTTTCAAGATTTTCGTTCTTGTTTGAACCTGAAGATTAAACAACATATATTTTCAAACAGCAAGTAATTAATGAATCACATCTCAAGGAGATGTGATACTATCAGTTCGTAATTGGTTAGTATGCATGTCATCGTAAGCTATTGTGAACACACTCTTCTTTTGAGCCATGGGAGGTCGCGTCAATGCTATTCCTGAATCATTATCTTCCTCGGGCCTCCTTACTTGCTGATCCTGAACTGGAGGATATTGAACTTCGAATCTTCGTTCCGAATGTTGTACTAATGGATGTTCGGGACCGAGGGCAGTCTTCTTGGTTTCAACTTTTTTACGCGCACTTGACTCGGTATCCATCAGTAGCCTCGAACTCACAGCAGGTTTGACTCCAGTTGATTTAGCGTCAGTAGATTTGGAATCATCTTTCTCGTTGGGTTTTTCTTTCTTTTTTGTTCCTGTTGATTTTTTAGTTGTAACCCTTTCTACAATTGGTTTCTTATTATACCATTCCATGTAACGGGATCCGCGAACTTTACCGCCAGGTTTACTTTGTTTCTTTTCACTAGAGGCTTTACTCAAATCAAGTTGGCTTCTAGATTTCAGTTTTGCTTTAGACTTACTTTGAAAAGGGCGTTTGTCACTCTGTGCGGAAATCAGTCTCAAATCGGACTCTGAGTGGTATCTTTGCTTTGTCGAGTTGGAGCTGGTCTTCTCAGATCGTGGGCTTATCTCGAGACTATCATCAGAAAATACATCTCTCTTTTGGTAGTAACGCTCTTCACTCTCACTCTCGTCACTTTGCTCCAAAGAAGCAGATATTTCTTCCAAAACTTCTTTTCTCAATCCAGATTTTGATGATCTCGACTGTGAGGATCTCGTTTCGCTAGAAGCTCTTTTTTGCCTCAGTTCACTAGTTTTTGTTTGCTTATATTTTGCCTTCTTTTCAATCTTGGGACTCTCTGTGATTTCCAACTCCACTTCTTCCTGAATTGGAGTCTTGATTTTTCTCCTGATATGACTTTTCTGTGGATGTCTTCGTCTCGTGCTCGCTTTGATAGCAGCTATTTCGTCTTCTTCGTCGCTGGCTTCACTTTGATCATTGTCCGATCTAACCTTCCTGCGAGGTGGACGTAAGTATTCAGGTTCTGTCTGCGTACCAGCGTTTTTATCAGTTTGTGTACCAGCTGGCAACGATTGTGTTTCCAACCTCAAATCTCTCTCACGCTCTAGCAATATTTGACGAAGTAGGGCATTCTGTTGTCTTAGCGAAGCCTCCAAAAGTTCATGTTCGGTCTGAAGTCTGTTCACGGAATTTGGCAAATTCATCTGAAAATAAAATTTGTGGTAACTTGTTAAACAGATTTCAATGCTTTATTTTTCAAAGAAATGAGTGAAGCTGTGGCTCCGATATCTAGTCATATTATAATAAATAATTTATGCTATATATTTTTCAGTGCTGAAGCTGTTTGTTTGTTCAACAAGTTTTGCAGTGCAATCTGCAGTGAAAGACGGAGGACAAATCTCGTTTGTTGGTCGATGTGGAGGCTTGGCCTTGCAATGGATCACTTCGGGAAGCCTCGTTTTTCTTTGATATCAGTTAATTGAGTTGTCTTTTTATCCCCTATATGTTGTATTCTCACTTTAACATGTCCTCAAGTGACAGTTGAGTTCAACAAAGCAAATGACAGTTAGGTTCAGCAAAGTATCGTAGTTCAGGCTAACATCACTAATGGCGAATGGTGACAGCGCCTTTACCTATTGTATTACGAATACTTCGGTTTTGGACCAACAGGTTGGATGTTACCCATCTATTTTATATGAATGACCTGAAACTCTACAACAGTTCCTGAGGATAGTGAAAGAGAATAAAAATACCCTATCGGAATGGCATTCGAAACGAATGAATATAGAAAGGTTTATCCCACAACGGAACAATATGGAGGACATATGGAAGTTAAGAAGCTGTGGTGAAAATGTCTCCTACAAAAAAATAAATATTGAGATTTGTGAGAGGCAAGAACCATGGATAATGCTCACTACGACAAAGTGTCTACAAACAACCACCTATCGCAGAAAAACAAAGTTGCTGCTTGAAATATGCCTTTATCACTCTAATCTAGTTAAAACATGATGCTTCTTTGCATCATACATCTTTTGGTAAAAGTGAAATTTCATTTAGAGACAGCTACCAAGTATCTTCATTTTGAAAACTGAAAAGGTTATGAGAACTCTGTCGCAACTTTGGAACCTGTTCCATTAAAAGCTCAACTGTAAGCCATAGAGACCACTTTTGCGGCTACATAAGGATACACCACAAGCGAAGTAACAATTGAAAGCAAACTTAAGCACTGTTTATAATACAATATACACCTAAATCCTTCAATAAAGAAATACTTTTTATCATTGAGTTTCATTGCAGAAAAATACTTCATATCTGTTTAAGTTTTAAGTAAACGGTATGCTTGAGTTAATATTGCACATTACAAAATGTGCAATAGTCTGAAAAATAAACTAGTACCTGCGATCTAGCAGCTTCAGTTTGCTGGTGCTCCATAAATCTACGCATCAGAATATCTTTGCCACTATCGGCCATATATGTTTGGTCCGCAACTAAAGTCACAGGTATCTGTGATTCTCCTCCTCTAGTGATCAATCTCAATATATCTGCATTGCCTTCTCTTGTATAAAATTGATCTCTGAAAGGCTCCGCCTGAACCTGGCTTTGTCTGTTCAATGATCGCTTTCCTGCTCCCCGGTCCGATCCCCTTTCCATTTCGTGCCTTCTGAGGGATTCTGCTTCATTATCTACCTGTTCAGGAGACCACGCTTCCTTTCTACCAAACCATTCTGCGACTTGTACCGATTTGCTTTCTCTTCCTTGCCCGGAACCTATTATTTTAATTTTTTCAATTTTCTCGATGACTGGGCTTTCCTTTCTTTTCTTATAATAGAAATAGTGATACAAAGGACATTGTCTACATAGGCAGCACAGAATGAGTGCCAGAGCTGCTATTATCAACAGGATGAAGAATAATATGAGAAGCCATAACAGACTTCCACTACTGCTCTCCTTTATTCTAATAATTTCCTTTTCTTTGACCTGGTTCTGTTCATTTTTACTGACTATAATCTTATTTATTTCATTGAGGTCAACAACTGAGTCCTTTGAAAATGTGACACTTGCTTCTACAACACTCCTGAAACACAAATAGATGATTAACACAAAAAATGCACATTTTTTAACTCACCTATCACCATTATCTTCACTCAGCTTAACATAAGTAGCACCAGGTTCATCTCCAGTGTAAGGTCGTATCCTTTCGATATTTACTCGCCCCCCTGTCAGAGTCTCCAAGGTTTCTAATATTGCGGCTCTATCAGGATTTCTGCCAGAGACAATGAAAATCATTTTCCTTACCCACCCGTCTGGAGGGTATATTCGAATTTCACACTCGCTGGAAAGCCTCGGAACCCCTCCATCCCAAACCCTTCCTGTAAATATAGTCACGTCATTGATTTCCAATGCCTTAGTGACTAGAAGCTCCCCTATTTTTTGATTAAGATACAAATTACTTGGGTTGTTGATAATCTCATAATTTAACTCGTTGTTTGGAGGACTGATGTCTCGGTCTGTTGCTTTGATGAATGCCGGGGTTGTGAAATTAGTTTTATCTTTGTTCAGTATGAATTCATAGACGCTTTTTTCGAACTGAGGAGTATTATCATTAATGTCAATCAAGGTGATGATGATCGTACTCGTAGCTGTCAAACCTTGGCCATTTTCATCAGTGGCTTCTACATTTAACACAATGGTTGAGGCAATGTCTGCATCGAGTCTTTCAGAATCTGCTACGGTTACCAGTCCAGTATCAACATTGAGCTCAAATAGGTCACTTCCTTCTCCCGTCAGTCGAGTATATTTGATTTTGCTTCCAGGTTCTCTATCGGAATCCACGGCTTCAACCACTAGGACGTTGGTGCCTACATTAGCATGTTCCTGTACATTAGCGTGGTATTCTTCTTGTGTGAACTTTGGAGGATTGTCGTTTATATCATTGAGGAGTACTGTCAGCTTGGCTCTAGTACTGTAGTTAGCTACACCTACTCCTTTGGCAACTATATAACATTCCACTGAATGTCTTGATTCGTAATCCAGAAGTTTAGGATCATGGACTCTTATACTAAATTTGGAACTGCTTTCCATAACTGTAGGACTGATTTCGAAGGTACCTGAAAATTATAGTATTTTAATATTTTTATAGTTGAAGGTTTCATTGGTATCAGTGCTCTTACACATTAAGTGGTATGCACTGACACCACAACCAATCATGAGCTGTGGATAAGTTTGCTCCACAATCTCCCACCAACCTTTTTCTGTTGGTGGAGGTTCTCGGACTACTGTAAGGAAGGTACGCTGATCCAATAAAAATTTTTTCAGGCTGGTTTTCCTTACTGGCCACCTTTGAATGAGTGCCATTGAAACCTTAGTACAACGACAGTATATTGAATCCTTTTCAGATAACACACTTGTAAGAACATGGGCTTTCATTTTCGGAATCACGAGGAGCCGTAGTCGAACTGGTAGCACCAATCGTGTGCTACTGCGGCAGACATCATGAGTGGTATATGTGTGACTGTTAATGTCTGCCGCAGTAGTAGACAAATCGATTGGTACTGCAGGTACTGCAGGTACTGCAGGTACTGCAGGTTCAAACACTGCCTACCAGTCCGGATTTCATTTTTTCTTGCACTTGTTCTTAGAGTCACTGAAGTTTTGTTATTATTTGACTTTGACCGTACTATGGAAGGGCGACAGGTATCCCATAAGCTCCGTTCATTTTTTGCATAGGTCGCGTAACATCATCAGAGTAAACTTTCTTTTGGTCGCTTGCTGTAGGGCAAGTTCTGGTGAATTGAATTTCATGCAAATACTCTTTCATTATTTCGATGTATAGCATTTCACGTGAGTAATGGGTATCTGTTACAATTTTCATAGCGAATTTTTCAAATGCAAATTGAGGAAAAACATTTCTTTGAGTGTAATGTGTATTGATGTACTAATGTAAAAGTAACAGACCAAACAGTTTTTTTTACAAAAATAAAGATTCTCACAAAAGCCAAAAAAAGTTTTGGTTTGGAAATGAAATGAAAATTAAAAATTGAAGGATTTCAAGCCAAGTTACTTCACGACGTTTTGATTGTTAGTAACCAAAATCGTCTTTGGGTGATTCTTTAAAAGACTTCAAATCATTTTATATCATATTAGATAATGAAAGTACGAACTAATGATTCATGAACTTCTGGCAGAATCTTCCAGAATTGGCTCACTCCAAGGTGTTTATTCACCCTTCGAAGCCTGATACCAAACAGTTGTTGGACTACAGTAGGGATGAACTACGATGTCTATCAGGCCTTCTCACAGGTCACTGTGATTTGAATCATCATATGCAGAAACTTGGACTGTCGGAAGACGGTGTGTGTCGCCTCTGTCTCTGTCGCCTCTGTCATTTTTTGATCCTGATACAATTGTATTCTTGCTAACATTTCGAATTTAATTAAATTCTTCTGCAGGGCTCTGTAACAATGAATTTTCATTAATATACCTTCCACAAAACTTATTCCAATTTCACAAGAAATAATGAGTACTCATTTTAATTACTCACCGAAAAGTAGTTTTTTCGTGTTGATGATAATACTATTTTAAAAATCATCAGACATATTAGATACGTATTTGAAAAATAAAAAACAGATTGCAAACAACAAATTTTCTAGACAACACCAACACAAAACGACATGAAATAAACGAATGGCTTTATCTATTCGTTGTTGACTTTTTAGTTATTTCTCCAATCCCTTTCCTGTTGAATCCGTTCAACTGGCGCCCCAGGGCTTACTTTTTCCATCTATTTCAACTGTAAAAAAAAAACATATTTTCCTTAACCACGTCCAGACCCGACAATAATCGAATAGCCTGGGCCGAACTACCTTTTGGTAATTACATAAATACCAAAGTAGGTTATAAACTCCAACACAGCTATTCATAACTGTTTATAATATATCTTTGTTTATAATATATCTCCCCTATAGTCTTTTCATTTCTTTAGAATAAGCGAACAATCTCTAATTTGCTTGAACGGTATGAAAAACAAAAAGAAGAAAGCATATATGGATGAATAAATGAAACTCTGTTGGAGTAGATCAATATCTCATGCAAAAAGGGATCCACAAAATGAAGATGAAAAGCAGGATGTCCCTGTATCAAAACGTTGTAATCTATGAAGAAAAGAGTGGCGGATCATCAAGTCTCAAGAGAAGGTTGCCTAAACCCGGAAGAAGAGAAAATATGATCCACACCAGAAATGATGGGTAAATCACATTCATTCACATTCGACAAAAATTCAGATCACTTACATTAAAGTCGATAAACAGCAGATGAATAGCTTAGGGTGTTGAATTCTGGTGAGAAAAAAAAATCATTCTACGCTATGGAAAGATGAAATCAGTCAGGCAATATTTGCAATAAGGGTGAGGTCAGATAAAGGAGCAGTTTGACGAAAAAGCTACAGAATCAAGTAGGTGAAATAAATGTAAGGGAGTAACCTGATGAGTGGAACAAAAGTACTGGCTTATTTTAAATCAAATGCATCTGAATTTAAAAAATCTAGAGATTAAGAAAAGAATAAATTCGTAAGGCTATAGCTGCTACAATAATGAGGAGAGATGAAAAATCGACGATTATACAAAAAAGCCACATAGAATTAAGCAGGCAAGTTACCCGGGACGAAGTACCTGATGAGAGGGCAATGGAACGAACTTTCTGTGGAGCAACTACAGACATATGAATGAAAAAAATCTGGTGGGGAAACAATAGCTCAGAGCATGCCATGATTAGAAAATAAGAAATTCGTAAAGCTATAGCTGTAAAAACATGAATGAAGAATGAAAAATCGACTGAACAGAAAAGTCACAGAAATGAGCAGGCAAGTTACCCGGGGCCGAGTAACTTGATGCGTGTGCATTTGTACGAGCTACCTGTGTATCAACAAAATGCTACTCAATAAAAAAATCTGTCAAGAAAACAAGAGTTCAGAACATGCCATGCTAAAAAAGAATGAATTTGTCAGGCTATACCTGCCACAAGATTGAGGCCGTATGAAGAATCGACTGAACAGAAATGCCTCAGAATTATTGGTATGAAGTTATCCACAGATTTCTGGCCACACATGCTGACGTAGAGGAAAACAAAAATCTGTGGTTGGAATACGAAATTATTATTAGCACCCGTACTAATATCTGTGGCTGGAAATACCTATTCACTATAGGTTGAACGTGGAAGTTCAACGTGTAATTATTAAGACAATTTGGTGTTTAACTTTTTTATATAATCTTGAGTAGATTGACGCGTTGATAATCGTTATAAAATAGATGTCGATGGCCTTAATACCGCATATTTTAATTTGATACATAAAATACCTGAATAATTTACACTTTCTTCATTCTTTTTCTTCCTGCCATGCATTGATTAAAAAACAGACACCACCTTATCAGAATCAGAGATAAAGCCATTCGTTTGTTTCATGTCGTTTTGTGTTGGTATTGTCTCGAAAATTTGTTGTTTGCTATGTGTTTTTTATTTTTATTTTTCAAATACGTATCTAATATGTCTGATGATTTTTAAAATAATATTATCATCAACACGAAAAAACTACTTTTCGGGGAGTAATTTAAATGAGAACTCATTATTTTTTGTGGAATTGAAATAAGTTTTGTGGAAGGTATATTCATGAAAATTCATTGTTACAGAGCCCTGAAGAAGAATTTAATTAAATTCGAAACGTCGGCAAGAATACAATTGTTTTTTTAAGAAAAAATTGATCCTGTTACCCAACCAACCCCCTTTTTCAGAAAAATTATTGGATTACTAAACTAGTTAACTGCATTTACTTTGTGCCTGCCCCGCTGGGGACTAATCAGGTTCTCAGAGTTCAGCAGATCCGTACTCTCACCATCTGACCTGAAAGACCACTCACCATACAAACTTATCGGCTTCGTTAAGAAGCTGGGTTCATTTGGTCGGGTGTGAATAGGTGTGAGCCACAATAAACCCTTGTGGGATGCGGTGGAGGGCTGAATAGACCCACTCACTTTAGACCTACCTACTGAACTAATGAAATGCATCATGAAATTTTGTCAACCACCTTCAAACAATACAAAAAGTATCATCCTATCGACTTTCATCACAATAAAAGTAACAGCGAATTTTTATCAGAAACGACTCTTGTGAAACATATTCTATATATGTATTATAGTTTGTACTTACAAACATCTTACCATTATTGTTCACCAATTCCAGCTTGACAACATTACCGGGTTGAACATTGACTTCTGCTTGAAGCAGATCCAGTTCAGTTCCAGGTGGTGAATTTTCGTCCAGGAGTACATTGTATTCGATGGAACCAAATGTGGGTAGCTCAGCCGTAACTCCAGGAGGAATCAGTGCCAATTGGACAGTAGAAAATTGAGCCGGTCCTTCATCAGAATTTGATCGCACTTCAGAGGCCGTAACGTTGATTAGTATGGGTTGTCCAGTGTGAGAAATGGATAGAATATCAGTGAGAGGGCGAACTAATCGTAGTTCTCCTGCAATAGTGAAAATAGGTGTGAAGTGAGATGGATTATAAATTGTTGGAATTAACTTTTTTACAATTGATGTTGAAAACAATGATCACGTAATTGATCAAAGATTAGGAATTGAGTTTTTGTTGCAATGAAAACATTATCAATTCTTCAATAATTGACTACTCTCAGGTCAATGTAAAAACTCTGGATGAAGTTGGAGATAGTTGAATAAGAATAATTATAAATAATAAACGAAGCCCCTGACCTCTGTTTTCCTCAGGTCAAGTGGACTAAAGTCGGAAACAGAGAAATTCTTCATTACCTACCAAGAGGGTGTCTTCAACATCTTCGTCTACGGTAGTCGCATGATGATTTAGAGGTTCCTAACACCAGCTTCATGCCTACCGCCTGGTGTTTGAGATTCTTATTCATTTTCTCTCAGTATGTCTAGCATATGCATATATTTAACGACATAACGCGGTATCTGAGAGACACTGATGTTCTCTTATGCTTCGGGGACTATTCAATCCATTGAAAGAAATAGGAAGTGCTCGCTCTCAGGTTGATACAAGCTAATGAGTCCGATGTATTTATCTTCGACCATTAAAGTCTGATGATATGCGTCGTGGAGTTTTCAACTCCAGGTGAAGCGAATGTCGTCCGGAAACAGGGGGACAAACCGATTAAATATCGCGGTTTCTTCACTTTACACTAACACTTCACCGAAGGTCCGAAGTGGAAATAGAAAATTTAGGACTGTGGACGATCCACAACTACAAAGCATAGCAGCTGTCTGACTCAAATTCCTTATTACATTCTCAGATAATTTTTTCCTTATTTGGAATTATCCAATACGAAACTTCGATTCGATTGTTCTTTATCACGTCAAAAAACTCTTACTGTGACAGCATTAATGAATCTGCTTACATATTCAGATAATTTTTTCCTTATTTGGAATTACTCAATACAAACCTTTGATTCGATTGTTCTTTATCACGTCAAAAAATTCTTACTGCGACAGCATTAATGAATCTGCTTCAAGGCAATCGAAAATTCAGCATATCCTGAATAACTACTAACGTTTTTTGTTCGTTGTTTGTACACACATCTCGTCAGCTTGTGATTATTTGTTAAAAGAGATCAAAACATTATCCCTGATCAATCCATTCGGTACACAACAGTTCAATTTCAGTGAATCCTGAACAGGAGTTTATTGTTTATACCCGCTGCTTCTCTATGTTATACCTTTGTATGTTTCATTAATGGCAATTAAAAAAAGTCTCATCTACTTGCTCAGTCATTTCTATCGGGGCGCTAATCAACAAAAAATTCTACAGTAGTTACTCTTTCTTTTTCAACTTTTGAATAAATCAATTTCAGTATATAATTATTGTTCACGCGCTTATCACGTTATAACTTGTCACTTGTAACATTTAAAGTTGTCGGCACTCGCAATGGCCAAAAAAACCAATACATAGAATATAATCGGCAGCGAACTAGTCCACGTAGACTGTAGACTTGGTGGTTCGTATTGGATAATTTTTACTAACCCAGTTTTATGATTGGCTGAAGAGTCATAAAATTTAATTTGAAGTCATGTTACGGTGACGCATAGAAATCGGGGGAATGCGGGGATGGTTATCGCTGTCGTGTTCAGTTCAGGAACTGATCACAATTTGAGTGTTGAAATTCGATATTGGTGCAGTTATAATTACTTGATATTTTTGTTGTCTGCTTGAAATCTGGCGTCCCAGGACAAGTACTAATAGTAATAACGAGTGTGACAACAACGCAGACTTTTTCCAGTGTAGTGATTCCAATAGAGATGGTGAACAATGCGAAAATGAGATACCAGTGAATAAGATTCGGATGCATTTGAATATTGGAACCCAGAAAGTATGTTTCAATGTATATAAGAATTTACATCTCAAGTTTGGTTTCGAGGGAAACAAACTATTACAACAGATTTTACCGAAATTCCTTTCTCAACTGTACGTAAAATAGTCAAAAACAAACCTTATGAACGCAAAACGCGATGTGATACAGAATTACCAAAACTTTCAGAGGTTCATCTAATAAAATCATTGAAGTAAACAATATACGACTGTTACAAAAGCAATAGAATTCATTCAACTGAAATCATAAGGAAGAAATTGAGTACTTCCGGCCATAACGTGAGCTGCTGTGACAACTCTTCAGAATTGGATAAAGAAACTAGGATTTAGATTTAAAATAATAAACAAACGTCACGTAGTTATGTAAAGCATAAGAATAGTGGAATTGCGTAACAAATAACTAAATATAGATAAGAACAACGGCAAATTTTCTATTTGTACGAAACTTGGTATGTGTACGCCTAACATATCTGCAAACAAAGGATCTCGACTAATCATTTTGCACTAGGAATGAAGTAACACACATTGATTCCAAATTTGGATGCGAATAGTGAATAGTACGACAATGAACATCATTGTTCAGTTAGAATATTCTCATTTAGTTTTCGGTTTTACCAGTACAAAGGTAACACGCCAACAATCTCTAAAATGGTCAATTCTCGTCCATTGAAAGAAAAAATTTACGCTATTTTTATTTATGGTGCGACGCGTAACTTTCACGAGACCGAAAGGATTCTCAATGAACGTTTTCCGAATCGTCCTATCTGTAGAAAATATCAGAGGGAACTTGTATCCAAATTCACAACTAGGTACCGGTATTGTATTCCAACAAAATGGAGCACCACCACATTACTCCATTACTCCGGTCGTTGGATTGGCCGTCGAGGTCCTACAGAATGGCCAGCCCACTCGCCAGATTTGACACCTTTGGACTTTTTTTATGGGTATATTTGAAGCAAAAGGTATACCAAACTGAACCTGCTTCAATATTGAATATACGGCAGAGAATAATAAATATTTGTAGAGATATTGACGGTAGGTATTGTGTTTGAAAATGTTCGGCATGAAATATTGGATAGGCTGTTCATATGTCAAGAAGTTCAAGGTAACTATTTCGAGCATCTTCTGAACTAACCTCAAGCTTATTACCATTACCTATTCTTAGGTCGTTTCAACTTCCAAGCGTTTTGCCTCGCTGGTTAACGGAAAACACATGTTCTTGACATTCGATTCAGGTTGAGATAAAAAAAAAATTATGTTGAATTGGTGAATACATTGTTATGTTATTAGATCTTCCTCTTTTATCAATAGGAAGTGAATGTACTCATCTCATTCGGGTGCAATAATTTCAGTGTGTAAAAACGTTCGATTATGATTTACCCTCTCCCCCTCTCAGAACGGAAAGTTGGTTACGCCACTGACGGAACTACCTCCTATCCAAATTTATTTATTTGTTTTTCCTTGCAGTTCTGGATATGAAATAGTTTTTAATTAGATTCGGCCAGAATAAATAAGAAACTCCCCATAAAATATACGAAGTCACAAAGTGTTTTGGCTTGGCACGTTTAATTCTAATTTTAAATCTAGATTTTATTTCGAGCAATTAGGTTTTTGCGTTCGTGATTCAAATGAATCAAATCAAAGACTGATAAGCCCAACAATGATGAATATTACAATTTCGTGCAGTTTTTGAAAAAGTGTTTGAAAAGTAGGCAAAGTTTTCTATAAATTTTCTCTGTACGTGACTGATTGAAGGAAAGAAACCCCTTTTCTAAGGGAATTTGAAATATATCAATCCAACTATATTGAATACGCATTAGTTCTATTAACATTATCCCAGCGCTAATTAGCGAATATGGTTGATGCGGTGTCGTTTTTTTATACATGAAGCATTGTTTAAATGTCCATACTTACCAATTATGTTCTTGTGGCAAAAATAATGTTTTTATGATCATATCTGATCATTGTGTACTTTAGAGTTTTTCACCAAAACTGTTTTGCACTTTGTTATTGTAACTATTAATAATACTAGTTTTCATAGTGATCATACGATTTGTATTCCTTGCGATATTCAACATTTTAGATATACAGTGCTTTTCTTATACTTTCGTCATTACTCTATTTGCATGTTTATACACCTCAACTAACTTTAGTCATTGTTGAATATTTCGGTGCCTTTATCTTTTTGCGAAAACAAATTTCAATGAAATTCCCAATATTAGTTTTTTTCTAACATACCTAAGTCGCATCTAGAATAAGTATCTCATTTGAATAAACTTTACGATATTTGGCGTCTGAATGGGTTTAACGGAAGCTGCATATCGTTCCAATCTGACACGAAATATTTCATTTTTGAATCGATATTCCAGTCTGGAATACCAAAATAGCAGCCTATCAATATTTTACTATTTGAGATTCCAAGGTCCGCTGTAAAATTGGTTCCATAAAGTATTACTGAATTTCGAAGCGTGAGAAAATTTAACTTTGCTGCTAGAGAGAAAAACACAACCACACATTTAGGGAATATTGACAAACGTTAGATGAAATCAACGACATTAGAGATAAATGAATTCATACACCAATTTGAAGGTTACCACGCACCATAATGGCAATTGGTGTGATCTACTTGTCGACATGGCTGTGATATTATTATTCTTTCTTACTAAATCTACTACCTCTACACCAAAACGAATATGCTCATCAGACTGGACATGAAGTTAATAATCCATTTGAATGTCAAGAGGAAATTAGTGGAGCTTCTCATCTGTAGTTTACTAATCTCTGATTCAGATAATGAACTTACATATCGGTAGGGATTTGGTGTTTGTTGGTAAACTAATAGTAAATATAAGATAGTTGAGTTTCTGCGAACACTGGAAAAGGAGAAAAGTGGGTTGGAAACTATGCAGTTTTTTATTTGAATGAAAATAATCATTCTTCAGTTAACAAACAAATATGTCACTCTATGAGTGGAAAACATTTCAATTTAAGAACTTGTAACGGTTTAAATTTCAGAATTCAGAAGAATTAGTAGTGCCGCCGTGTAGGTTCGTTATTTTATCAGCATATTGCTGGGATGGTGGATTGTCTAATAAGCAGGAGTAAATAAAACCGAGGAAATTTTCA